CGGAGTACCCAGCAGCCTCCTCCTGAGTTTTGCCAGGGTGTTGATGGGGAGCTGGGAATGGTCCCAAAAGAATGTGGGCATGAACAGGCCTCTCCCTCCTTCTGGTCAGGAGAAAGCGCCCAGCAAAGCCACACGGCTTCCCCAACATTCTTCCCTCCCCTACTCCAACCCTTTCCTCTTCCGGAGTCCTAGCAAAATGTTCTCAAAGGTGAGACCTTGGGGAAAACAGAGAGAAACAAGTGTCTTTCTGGTAGCTTCTTCTCTTGGCCAGTTGACACAAACCTGTCTCAAGGCCTGGCTATCTCTATGCCTGTGGTAGCTGGGGGACAGGGGCAATAGTGCAGGGAGAGAAAACCATACATTAATCTCAATAAGTGCTCATGCCACTGTCTCCACAGAAGGAACGGTGCAGCAGTAGATTGAAGATGCGGGCCCCAATCTCCACACGGGGCCCAAACGTCTCCATCAGTAAAACTGATTAGAGGGAACGCTGCGGGGCGGGGATGGGAGAATTCCACCTGGTTTGCAAACTACATGTAGGGGCCTCGGCAAATTGCCCAGCAAAATACCCCATTCACACCCTTCCTACCAGGAGAGCGAAGCTGGGAGACCCAAGGGACCAGGGGGGTCTATGTGACGTAGGCTGCCAGACGCAGAGCTGGGCACTTCCAACCTGGCTCCATGATCATATAAGGCGGGGGAGTGGGGCACAGATGATGGCGGGGTAGGGGGTTGGTCAAGAAATAGCAGAGGATGTCTAAAGTCACATTTTGGTGTCCAGAACAAGGGTTCTTAACTAGTGTCCGTGAACCATAGACTGTACGCTGTAATTCAGAGGTCCATGAACTCGGACTGGAAAATATTACAACTTTACTTGTACTTGCCTCCATTTCCTCCTGTGAACAAAGGCAGCAAACTCCAGTGGCATCAGCTGTGCCAACAGAAGGCACAGAGCCACTCACTCCCCGTACAGTCGCTGCAGACATCTTGAAACATTGTTTACTCTCATTTCTGTTTCAAAGCTACGGCAGTTTATTAGCTCGTTACTTTTAAACTTTTAAAGCTTGTTACTTAATGTGTTAATAAAAAAAACCTATGTATTACAACATCACACCTTTAAATATTTTCACAACTGTGTTTCAACATAACTAGCTTCCTTTGTAACCCTGTCTATTGTATTTTATCCATATGAAAATATTATGTTGAGAAGGGATCCATGGCACAAAAAAGGTCAAGACCCCCTGGCCCACAGTGAGGGCAGCTGCCCAGCTGAGCAGAGGCTCCTGCAGGAGGGACCGGATGAGGAGTCCACCAGGTGCAGCCCCTGCTCCGGGGAATCCTGTGTAGGGGCGGGTGAGGCAGCGACAGCGACAACCCACTGAGATCTTCAATTCGACTGAAAGGCTTTGGGCCTCTGCTGCCCATTGTGAAAAAGGAGACTCCAGCCTCTTACTCTAAATCACAGGGGGACTTGGGGAGAATGAGGATGGAGCCCTGAGCTCCCGGCAAATACAGGAAGGGGGAGCATCCCAGCACTGGATCTTAAGAATCGGTCCAACTGAATTTAAGGACACAGAAGCCAAGAGTGGGGAGGAGTGGTGGGGAGGGAGTCCTCCCTCCTGAGCTGTGGTTGTAGCGCTGCTCAGGGAAAGGAGAAGAAAGTCTCCCACACGCTCGTGGAGAGCAACAGCTATCTCAACGTGCCAGGCGAAAGTGGAGCAAGCGCCGTTTCAGAGCGGCCTCCAGCCTCACAGGTTCTGGGCATCCGTGCACACTGGCTCGCCCCTTTGAGGGCGGTTCCCCCATCTCTGCATCCCCATGGCTGCCTCTCACTGGGAGCAGCGCCACCCCCAATTCCTGCCAGACAATCCTTGTCCTAGGTGAGACGGATGGCCAGGCCCCAGCTGTAGGCCTCAGTGGCCTTGGGAGAGGAGCAGCGCCACTGCGCAAGGACACCCTTCATTTCACAAAGGAGGGAGTCGAGGGCACAACAGCTGTCACTGAGCTGCCCCCAGTCCCTGTGTCTGGCTTCCTTGTCTCTGTTAAGACCTTGTGAGCTGCCCCACTGGCCACAGGGCAAAGCCCAACCTTGTCCACCAAGGCAGGGGGCACAAGACCTGCCCAAGATCCTACAGGCCAACTGTGAGAGCAGCCGGGCCCAGATCCCCAAGGCCCAGACCCCCCAGGCTCAGCCCTTCCGTACCTCCCTCCCCAGCCTGAGAACGGACCCGTGACCTGTCACTCTGGCCATGTGCCCATGAGGGAAGGCCAGAATCCATTCCCACCGGTCAGCACCTTCACCTCCCTCCAGAGAAACTTCCCAGGTTTGAGGTAATTGTCAGGAAGGAGCTGAAGTGACACTGGGAAGTTTAATTCTGGGGGATGGATTGGAGGGATACTGAGGGACAATGGGGAGAGGCCTGGGGGTCTGAGAGCCTGGACATTCTCAGGGGAACAACTTGATGGTGCGGGCCAGGGCCACCCACTTCTGCTTCCTGCTGTGTTCTCTGCTGCCCTTGATACCATGCTGGTCTGTCAGGGCAGAGAAATGACTGACAGGATCCTGGGACATCACTTATTCATTCACTCGTTCATTCCTCCACAGATATCTGTTCCAAGCAGGGGCTCACAGTGTGCAATGGGGAGGGGAGGAAGAACCACACACTGTACGTGCTGCCCACAGAGGGCCTGGGGCAGCGCGAGCTCCATGACAGAGGAGGATGGAGAACGGACTGCTGGGGCAGAGGCCTGAGGCAAAGTCTTGAAGGATAAAGAGGCTTTTCCTAAGTGAGGAGAGGGATGGAGGGCCTTCCAGGCAGAGCCTCTGAAAGAAGCCCGAGCTCCCGGCCTCCTTGGAGAGAAGCCATGTTGGGACCTGTGCACTGGGCTGCACGGGGCAAACAGGGCTGTGTGCGATGGCTGTCGGAGAAAATGGGGTCCATGGTTAACTACATTTGGGAAGTTCTGGATTAAACAATATTGAACAGACCTGTTTACTACAGGACTTGTCAGAGCCTTTATTTAACCTGTTAATGTCCAGAGTGAGCCTCACAGTGTATCGCAAGACTGATGGTCCATGATAGGCCATGCTGGCATAGGAATCTAGGAGGCAGTGGGAGTTGATGAGGTTAGAAGAGAATGCGAGGGCCTTTGAATGCCATACCAAGAAGGCTGGACTTTTTCCTTGGGGCCAGTAAGGAGTCTAAGGCCATTAACTGGGGGATCCAGACTCAGGGACCCGGGGCAGTTTCAGTGCTACGGCAGGGCTTGGTCAGCCTCTCCTCCGCCTACTCCTCCCTCCTTGACAGCAGGGCCACGCTGTGGGAGAGAAAGCAGAGTCCGGGGACACAGGCTGCAGTGAGGGAGCTCAGAGAGACAGGCCGGAGGAAGGCGGGGCTGGGCAAGCCTTGAACCCAAGTTTGGGTTAACAGCCTTTGGCCCAGTGTCCAAGGCTGCTCCAGTTCAAATCCTGGCTCCCCCACTTCCGAGTGGTGGGCATCTGACTTAATCTCTCTGGGCCTCAAGCTTCTTTTTTTTTTTTTTTTATAAATAGACATTATTTTTTAGAGCAGTTTTAGGTTTACAGAAAAATTGTGCCAGAAGTACAGAAGGTTCATATCCTTCCTCCTCCCCCGGCCCCACGGTCTCCCCTTGTTAACATCTTGCATTAGTGTGCTACATTGTTACAACTGGTGAGCTAGTATCAGTGCATTGTTGTTAACACTCGGCACTGTACAGTTTCACTGGTTTTGACAAAGGCATAGCATCGTGTATCCACCATTACAGCATCGTACAGAATAGTTTCACTGCCCTAAAAATGCTCTGTTGGACCCTGTTTGAACACCAGGAAAATGAGAGTGTGAAGCTCATCTGAAGCCCCTCAGCCTCCCAGGGTGGGTTCTAATTGAGGTCTCACGACAAATTCAGTGGTATTGAAACCAACTAAACGTTTAGAGTAAACACGGCCTGATGCCCATCAGAATCACTGGGCTTGGGGTGAGGCGAGGGGGTCATCATGCAAGCGTTCTAGGGTCTCAATCTCAACCTGCTAAATCAGAATCCCTGGGGTGGGGCCCAGGAATCTGCATTTTAACCGGGTCCCAATGCGCCCAGGGCAGGAACTACAGGCTCCTGACTCCTTGTCATGGGAATTTGTTCTCCCAAAGTTTCTCAGACCTAAACAGAAGGATCCCAGCCATTGTCGGGTGAAAGCTCAAGAGAGCTGGACCATTCCCAGGACGGGGAAGGAGCGCAGTTTTCCGTCAAGCCTGGAGAAAGCCCTTTCTGCCTTCCGCAGCTCCTAGTCAACAACCCGCGGGCGTTTCGTATCTTGATTGCTTATCACTCACCCAAAATAACCCGCGTGCAGTGTCTCACCAGCTGCAGCTCTCTCTGCAGCTCCCTTAATTTAGCAGCCAGACACGTTCAGCTCCGCAACAGAGCACAGGCCGAGGAAGGGCCCCCCGCCCGTGGCCATCTGTAGGGAGTTAAGCAGTGTCTCCCCAAAATTCATGTCCAGCCAGAATCTCAGAATGTGACCTTTTCTGGAAATAGGGTCTTTGCAGATGTAATTAGTAAGAATTGAGATGAGATCATACTGGGTTAGGGTGGGCCCTCAATTCAATGACTGGTGTTCTTGTAAGAACGGGAGAGGCCAGACAGGCCATGTGAAGACAGAGGCAGAGAATGGAGAGATGCAGCTACAAACCGAGGAACCCCAATGACTCTGGCAGCCCCAGTAGCTAAAAAGAGGCAAGGAAAGATACTTCTCTGGAGGGAACCTGGCCCTGCCAACACCTTGATTTCAGATTTCGAGCCTCCAGGGCTGTGAGAGACTAAGTTTCTGCTGCTTTAAGCCCCACCTCAAACCTCATTGGTGGTGATTTGTTACAGGAGCCCCGGGAATCTAATACACCAACATTGCCGTAGACCCCCGCCCCGGCTCAGCCCACCTCCAGCCCCACTACAGCAGGAAGGAAAGGACCCCACACACAGGCAAATCTCCAGAAGGGCATTTTAATGTGGCCAGTTATGATCGGAGCTATTTTCTCCCAACCAACATCTTTGAATTCTGCATCTACTAGGTGCTTCCTGCACAAAGACGAGGGCCCTCTGTCCTCTGCTGGGAAGGCTATAATCCAAGAAGGGCTGAAACCTGGTAGTGACAAATAAATATCAGTCTGAGGGGCAGTGTTTGGTAGGTGCTGCCATGTGGCAGTCCCCAGGCTCAGCCAAGGGTCAGGCAGATGCGTCACTGGAGCTTCATGCCACTCCGGCGCCGCGAGTCCTTCCGGGCGATGGGGCTGAAGTTCACAATCTCCTTGTAGATGTGCTCTGAGAAAGGCAGGGGGGCTCAAGGTGAGGAGGGGTGCTGAGAGCAAGAAGAGCCCACCCCCGTCCCCCCCCAGATACAGCACGGAGCAGGAGGTCAGCCCAGGGAGAAAGAAATGCACACCCACTCAGAGAGAAGGAGGCTGCGGTCTCTAGGGGGCCGTGGGCCCGGCTGAGGCCAGGCCTGGAAATGAAGGAGGCAGAGCAGAGAGGGGCTGCAGGCAGGGAGAGGAAGGAGCTGAGGCCGCGGCTCTTACGCTTCCATTCATCCACCGTGAGTTTCTCGTGTTCTAAGGAATCATCGAATGGCTGCTGGGCCTCTGTCTCCTCCTCGGGGTCCCGGAAGGGCTCAAAGAAGGGGTGGGTGAGGGCCTGCGAGGCCGTCAGGCGCTTGTCCACATCCAGCTCCAGCATCTTCTCCAGCAGGTCTATAGCTGCAGCAACAAAGCATGAGCCTCACAGCCCAGGCCTGGGAGGAGTAGGTGTCCCCCATCCCCCGTGTCCAACCCCCCACCCCCACCCCGGGGACAGACACAGAGGCCCTGCGGGCAGCAGGCCCCAGGACTCACCCTGGGGGCTGGCGCGGGGGAAGAGCTGAGAGAAATCCTTCTTGGGGCTCTGTGGCAGGGCCTGGATGTAGGATTTGGCCTGGAAGAGAGAGAAGCACTGAATAATCCCCAACCGTCAGCCCCTCAGGGCTTAGGCTGTGGGGTATAGAGCAGGGACTCCGGAAAAGGCCCAGAGCAGGGCTGAAGGCTCAGGTCAGAGTCCAAAGTGGGATGATGACGAGAGCACCTGCAGGGCAAGGGGAAGGCGCAGTTGAGCCCTCCTCCCCAAACCCGCAGGCCCCTGACCCCTGGTCAGCCGAGGCCCCTTTGCCGCTCACCGCTTTGTCCTTCAACTTCTGCACAAACTCTGCGCCCGGCACGCCAGTCACTTTCAGGATCTGGGTCAGCTGGTCCAGGTCTCGGCAGCGGGTTAAGGCTCAACCTCATTCTCTGCTGGCGGCTCCGAAGCTGCCCTTCCCGCTGCCCCCAGCCTCCCCCCAGGCACTGTGGCGGCCATCCAGGCTCCAGACGGCCGAACCTCCCGCTTCCGGGGGTAGAGGTTCACCCCTTAGGACTCGGGTCTCCGGAAGGCTTCCCACCTGCCAGGCTGGGCTAAGGGTCCCTCCCCACAGATTCTCCTGGATGTGCCACCTTCCCAGCCCTCACCCCATCCAGTCACCTTCATCCGTTTCTTTGTCATCTTCCCCCAGACTCTGCATATTCTCATCAACGCCTGCACAGTGCACACAGGAGTTCAATTAGTGTGTGAAGTAGTTTCTACACGGTGGTAGAATGACACGTTTCTAGTTTTCATCATTTTGCTTATCTGCATTTTAAAATTGTTCTACAGGGAGCATGTATCACTTTAGCACTAAGAAAAAAATATTTAAGTAATAAAGTGTCTGTTGAAGGAATGAATCCCTGGGTGGTTTGGCTTTTCCAGCAAAGGATACAATCTTTCCCCTTGAACAGAGTTTTCCCCGTCAGCATCTCCGCCATGATACAGCCCACAGACCAGATGTCCACTGCAGAGGGCAGGGGAGGACGTGTCACCTGGACCGGCTGACCAGGATCCGGCAGTTGGTCAACCCAGAGTAACTGAGATGGCCTTGGGAAGCTGCCAGAGGAGACCCCCAGCCCCAGGCCCCTCCCCCAGGCAGCTGACCACTGACCAGTCTGGTTGTAATGCATCCAGCTGAGGATCACCTCAGGGGCCCGGTACCAGCGGGTCACCACGTAGCCAGTCATCTGAGCGTCCGCAGGCCGTGCTAGCCCAAAATCCAAGATCTACAACTCAGGGACACAGGGAGAAGGAGCTCGCTGAGGAGACGAGGCTCCCGGAGCAGCTTCTGGGGCTCCCAGGGGAGAGGGGCCCACCCAACCCCAGACCCACCCTGCTCGGACCTTCTCACCTTCAGCTCACAGTCCTCGTTCACAGCGAGGTTGCCGGGCTTCAGGTCCTAGACAGGGGAGAGAGTGAGCACTGGCTGACAGGCAGAGACGGGAGCTTGTCCCCGCTCGGCCCCACCCAGCATGTGTCCTTGGCCAGGCCCCTTCCCCTCTCTGGGTGTAGGTCTCCTCATGCATAGCCTGAGCCTGGACCAGCTGTCCTCTAGGGCCCCTCCACCTCTAAATGCTCCTGATTCTTGGAGCCTGAAACACCCAAGCTCAGGGCTGGCTTTGTTCACAGCATTTCCCCGGAAAGTTCCCTAGAACACAGCAATTCTTCCGAACAGGCCTTCCTGGGCCCAGGCAGAGGCTGAAAAAATCCACATTCCATGCTCCAGAGGATTGTCCCCCCCTCCCCCCCTACCCCACTGTGGAGAACCCTCCCTCCCCTTGAGGACGGAGCAGGGAAAGCACTCACCCTGTGGATGACCCCAGCTGAGTGGATGTACTGTGTTGGAGAGAGACAAGGGTGAGTCTAGCGCCTTGGGTTTGCATACTGGGTGTTTCAGGCTGGCTCAGAAACCCCCTCCACCCTGTCACAGTGCTCTCCCGGCCCCCAAGAACTGGCCTCCCCCAAACCTCAGGTCTCAACATCAAGGTACCCCCCTCTGCCGTCTTCAGGCCCCTACCCACCTTAAGACCTTTGAGCATCTGATACACCAGGTACTGGATCTTGTCCTCACTGAACTCCATCCCCATGATCTTCTGCAGGTCCGTCTGCATGAAGGGCATCACCAGGTAGCTGCAAGGCACGAAGGCTTCTGGAACAGTCCCCAGCCCCACCCGGCCCCAGGTCTGAGCTCAGAGGAGGGGCGAGGGGCTAGGGCAGAACAGAGGCCTTAGAGATGACCTCTGCGCGCAAGAAGAACCAGCCCTGCACGGGCCTCCTGGCTCCTGGCTCCCAGCCTGGCGACAGCGGCCGGCCGCCCAGTTGGCAGAGTTCAAGGTAAGCACTTCAGCTGGAGCGTGCTCAGGAAAACCAAACGGGAGCAGTGTTCCCTCCCTTCAGGGGTGCCCTCTCCTTGCCCTCCTCCGTGCCCCACAGAAAGCCACAGCTGTGAGTTAGAAACATCTGCCAGTATTTCCTTCTGCTTCTTTCCAAATATTTTCTCCCAGAGAGGGTCATGCCCGGCTGAGATGGCGTCACCAAAACTGTCTGCCCTTCCAAGAAGGAAACAATAAAACAATTTCCAGGAGGGTGGAAGAAGGAAGAAGGAGGGAGCTGAACCATTGCACCCTTCCATGTGATTGTGAAACAGGTCAGGTCAGCAAAATGTAACTGTTACTCAAGGTATAACAGCAAAGTCCAGAACAAAAAAGGACAAAGATTGAAAAAGGAAAAAATAATAAAAAGGGATGTGGTGGAGGCCATCTCCACGAGCCTGTGGCTTTTTGAAGGCTTCTTCTCTCTGACCACACCCCCTCCCCCGTGGGGACCCTGCTCCATGCACGACCCCCTCCCCGCCTTCGTCTTTCACCTCCTCGTGGACCCTGGTTCTTTCTTCTCTGCCAACAAACTTGCTGAAGTCTCACATCGCCTTCCCTTGACCTTGTTTCCTCAAGTAACCGCCCCTTCTCCTTCTTTCCCTCCCAGACCAAACTTCTAGAAAGAGTGGTCCACACTTCTCAACCCCATTGCCTTAACTTCCAGGCCCCTGACGGCCTGGCGTGTGCTGCCGCCCCATCACCCAAACTGCTTGGATCAAGACCACCAATGACAGCCCAACAGCACCCCCCCCACCACCCTCCCTTCTTCCTATCAGACCTTTTGCAAAGTCTGACACTCCCTCAAGACTGGCTGCCGATTCTACCCCTCATCGGGCCGTCTCAGCTCTTCACCTGCTCGTCCTCTTGTACCTTCTCTTCCACGTTGCTATCTTAATCAACAGCATCGCATCATGTTCTACACTAGCCTGTCCCTGGGCTCCGGCTGTCATCCAAGCGTGATTATTCTGGCCCAAATCCACATCCTTGCCCAGACCTCCCCGAGCTCCAGATTTATTTGGAATTGCTGATTAAACGTCGAATGTTCACAGGCTCTTCAAAAGCGAAGTGTCCAAACTGGAGTTCATTATCTTTCTCCCAAGAACTGTTCCTCTTCAGCCTTGTATTCCAAGCAGGAGCCTGGCATCCCCAACCTACGCCACCTCTCCCAGCCACTGCATCCCAACGCATATGACATTCGGACAGTCCTGCCTCCCGACAGGTCTCAAGTTTCTTCTCGGCATCCCGTCACCTCTGCTTTATTTGGATGGAAGTCTGGGTCTCGAACTCTACCCTCAAGGCTCTCTCTCCTCTCAGAGCTGCTCCCTGCTCCTTTCTCGCTGCCATCAGAGTGCATCTCCAAAATCTGATCAGACCACATCACCCCCCTGCTCGAAACCTCCACGGACTTGAGGCTGCCTGTGGGCTCAAGTCTGAACTCTTGGCCTTATCAGACCCGCCGTCAGCCTCCACCAGCCACACTGAACTTCTCCATTCTGCCTGAACAGTCCAGTCTCTTTCATGCATCACGGCCTCTGCCCACGAAGCTCCTTCTACCCAGGGGCCCTCACCCCCTTCCACCTCAGGCAAACTTCCACTCATCCCGCAGGATTGAGTTCAAACGCTGCCTCCTCTGGGAAGGCCCCCAGGCAGTCTCCAGCCCTCTTCCCAGTCTGAGAACATTGACCACACTACTGGTAGGGGTCATTTAGAAACTGTGCCCCCACCCCCAACTGAGCGTCTGGCCGCTTTAAATTCTCAATGCTAAGCCCAGCAGCTGGCATTATAGGAAAAAACTCCATTCAAAATTATTGCATTACATTTAAAACAAAAGCATCCTAACACAGAGACCTTCAGCTGCATTTGAAATAGGATCAAAAAAAAAAAAAAAATCCACTCTCCCAAAGGTTCCTAAATTTTAGACCAGGTGTCGCACTAGCAAAGCCATGCATTTAGCAAAAAACTTTTCTGGTTCTGTATGATGCTGTCAAACACCCCAGCAGCCAGAGTGGCCAAGGCTTCCTGATCCACGCTTCATGCTAGGAAGAGCCCCAAAGTCCAGACCCACCCCTGGGCCCCCAGGGAGTGGGGAAAGCCCCTCCCACTTCTTCTTGCCTTTCTCTCCACCGTTGCCTGACAGAATCTCTCCAGAGAGAATTGCACCAGGACTGCCAGGGCGGGAAGCCCCCCTACCCAGAAGAGAGAATGTGGACCCTCCCCCAACTTGCTCCCGAGTGGCAAGCAAGGCCTGCGAATGCCCTGGAACCCAGTGCTGCCCGACTCACAAGTCGTGGAAGCTGCGCAAGGAGGAGGCTGGGGTGAAGACATCCAGGAGCCCAATGACCTGGGGAGAAGGTTGCCAGTGAGGGCTGGGCAGCCCCTGCTGCCCTCTCCTCCCCTCCCCTGGGGCCCCAGCCATGAACAGGACCACCCACCCTGTCCTAATACACCATTTCCAGCAGGAGGCAGGTGTCCAGCCTTCTTGGAGCTGTAGGCTGGGCAGAGGCGGAAGAGGAACCCCTCTAACTGGGAGGGAGCTTGCAGTGCACAGTGACGGAGAGTCAGGCTGGGGAGAAGGGGAGGTGGCCATTCCTGTGCTCACTGCCCCCAAGTCTGGTGTTCAGGGCAAGCAGCACAAACCCACCCTCAATTCAAGCAGGGAGCCACATGGCCAAGGGAATCAAGGAGGGAAGAGGGAAGGCGCCTTCCAGGCTCCCTGCCCTTGACCTTGGCTTTCCTACCACATCCATCCTCGCCTGCCAAAGGGCTGGTTCCGAGCCAAAGGCAAGATCACCCCAGGCTGGAGGCCACAAGGAGGGGTGCACTGAAGAGGAACAGGGCTTCAAATGTGCACAATATTTAGAAATCATTATTTTAAATATTGCCTTCCAGTCTAGGTATCGGAGCAAAGCCTGGTTAGCAGGCCCAGCATGGAGCCACGGGTCTTTCTAGCCATTTCTATCAGACAGGACTGCCTAATGGTTATGCACTGAGGCCTGGCCCCAGACCACCTAGGCTCAAATCCCAGCTCTGCCACTGACTAACCAGACAACTGTGAGTCTGTCTGTGCCTCCATTTCCCCATCTGTACATGGGAGTAACAGTACCTGTCTCACATAATATTGTGAGGATTTAATGTCAGTTTACACTAAGTCCTTGAGCAGCACCTGGCACATAATAAGTGCTCAGTGAGCATCTATTGTTATTACTGTTGTTGTTGTTATCAGATCACATGTGGAAATACCATTGACCAGGATTCTGGGCACCAGCTCTTAGATCTAGAACAAATGGCAAGTTCCTCATGCCTATTTCCTCATAACAGTGAGAGGGTAAGTTTGCACCTTACCAAGCTCAGTCTGCTCCACTGCCAAAAATACCCTTTGCACCCTCCTGGGAAGCAGGCACGGCAGGTCCCGGCACCTCATTTTAACAAATGGGAAGAAGGAACAAGGGCGGGAGGAGCAGGGAGGAGATGCTCTTCTCCTGGCCCTGTCCTGGGCTCTCTGCACCCTCTCTGCCACCTCTGGGCAGGCGGAGGGCCCGGTCAGAACCCTCTCAGGGCCCCGCGCCCTGCCCTCCCCCAGCAGCGCCCAGGCCCAGCCTACATTCTCATGCTGCATGTGCTTCAGTAGCAGCAGCTCTCGATAGGCCCGCTTGGCAAAGATCTCCGACTGGAAGGGCCGGCTCAGCTTCTTGATGGCCACCTTCTCCCCTGACCGCTTGTCGATGGCAGAGCTGCGGGGGCACAGGCAGTCAGTGCCCCCTCCAGACCCTGGGTGTTGCCTCCCAGCCTGCTCCGCTAGGGAGAGTGGAGGCCGTCCTAGCCCCAGTCCCTCTTGGCCAGCAGGCTAAGCTGGGAGGAACTGATGCCCACCACCTGGAATGTGAGGGGGCAGCCGGCAGCACAGTGGGTGGTGGGGGTCGAGGAGGGAGGGGGCAGACACTGAGAAAGGGGCATGGTGCCAGGGTCAGACCCAAGTCAATGCCAACTGGATCCAGAGGCGGAGGAAGTCTCACTCTATGCAACTCGGCAAATCACTTCTCCCTCTTTGGGCCTCAGTGTACCCCTTTGTAACAATGGGGATTCGCCCGGATGAACTCTGGGGTCCCTTGAAGGTTCAAGCCCTGGAGAACCAGACCCAGTCCTAATTCAACCCACAGAGACCCATAACTTCGAGGAGAAAAGTGAGATGGCGCCTGGGGTGGCCCCAGGCCAGCCTCTAACCGCCAGAGGCTCCTTGCGCCTCCTCTGCTTCCCTGCCCAGTCCGCCGCCTCCTCCCGGGTCCACGGGCTCGGCCCGGAAGCGCCCCGGGAGGGTCTTCCAAGCCCACCGGGCGCTGGGCTTGGGGTCCTCGGTCAAGGTGGCGGGCGCGCGGCCCCGAGCGCCCAGCAAGAGACGGGACATCCGAGGCGGGGCGGGAGAGCAGAGAAGGTGCGCTGTCCTGCCCGGGCTGGTGGAGAGGCGTCCCCTGCGCCCCGCGCCTGGGCGCCCGCCGCCCGTCCGCCCCGCGCCCCCCGGCGGCGCGCAGGCCCGGGGGTCTCACCACACGGCGCCATAGGCCCCGGTGCCGACGTGCGTCGGCGACACGTAGGTCTTGGGCAGCTCCCAGGCGGTCTTGTTCACGTCCTGCTTGTAGAAGCCCCTTTTCCGGCTGAGGCTCATCCCGGGCTCCCGAGCTCCGCGGCCCCAGCGCGGCGGCTGCGTTCGCGCCCCGCGGGCTCCGGCACGGTCCTCGCCGCGGTCCCAGGCGCGCCCGCCCCTCCCCTTCCCTCCCCTCCCCTCCCCTTCCCTCCCTCCCCTCCCCCCCCCGCGCCGGGCGGGGACCGGCCCGCGCGCGTCCCACCTGCCGGCTCGCCCAGGTGCGCCGCGCGGCCACGCCCGGGCCTGCCCGCCAGCCCGCCGGCCCAGGTGCGCGCGCGCCCGCCGAGCCGTGCAGAGGTGGCAGGTGCGCCGCCCTGCGGGAGCCAGCGGCTGCCGGCGGTGCTGGGGCCCCGAGCAGGGGCAGGGCGGCACGACGGGGCCTGCGGCTCTCTCCAGCCCGGCACGCTGGAGGAAGAGCTCCCCGGAGATTTCGAGGACAATTTCGGAAAAACCAAACCCCACCACTTTTTGATTACGGAAAGTTTCCAATATACACAAAAGTCGACAGAAGAGCTCGGGGCTTCTCACAAACGTGCACACGAATCCCCTGGGAATTTTATTTTATTACAGTGCAGATCCTGATTCAGTCGTTCTGGGGTGGAGTCAGGATTCTGCATTGCTCACCAGCTCCCCGGCTGGAGGGCCTCCGGGACCACACGAGGATAGTGAGGCGCTGATGACCCTGCCTGACCCCAATCCCTCAGGTTCAGCAATTACATCAACTCTTAGTCAATTTTGTTTCATCTGCAGCCCCATAATTTTGAAGCGAAACCAAGGCATCGTATCATTTCATGCATAAATATTTTTTGTATCTCTAAAGAAGGATTATTTTAAAGATATAACCACAATATTATTTTTACACCTAAAATTAATAATGGTAATTCTATAATATCAAGTATCCAGTCCAGGTTCAAATTTCCAGTCTTGAACACAATTTTTGCCGGCTTCCTAATACCCCATGAGGGCAATGACAAGCTAGGGTCTTCTGCCACCTGTGTCTGGTGGCTTGTGCAGCCTGAAGAAGGTTCTGTGCTCAAATTAAATCACAGAGGAGCCAGCCTGTGACCTAGTGGTTAAGTTCAGTGTGCTCACTTCGGCGGCCAGGGTTCGGTTCTGGGCACAGACCTACACCACCTGTCTGTCAGTGGCCATCCTGTGACGGCAGCTCACATACAAAATAGAGGAAGATTGGCAACAGATGTTAGGTCAAGGTGAATCTTCCTCAGCAAGAAAAAAAAAATCACAGAGGCCTCCAAGGAACAGGTTGGAGGGCAGAGAATGGCCTGGATGCCCGCCTGACTTGTCTGACCCCTCATTGACCCGGGGATGGGGTAGCGGAAGGGGTGGGGACCACTTGCTTCACCTGGTCAAAGGGACAGAGGGTATCTTAAAGAAGGAAAGGAACTTGCTTGTGGTCTCCAGCAAGCTGGGGGGCCTCACTAGGGAGTCTGCAGGCCCCAAACCCTGTGCCACAGCCCCTCCCACACACTCCTGCAGCCTCAGGCACAGCCTAGAAGACCCTTCAGGGGTGGGAGGGTGCTGGGATCCCACAGAAGTGCCCAACAGGCGTTGCAGGCACATAATCTGTCTTATTCATCCCTGGCACACAGTAGGACATCAAAAACTGTATGGAGAATGAATGGAAGAGCCAGCCCATTGGAAGTGAAAAAATATTTATTTAATGAACACTGTGTTTGCCATGCGCCAGTCATTATTCTAAGTGTTTTACATACACAACTCCCTTAATCCTGGTGAGAGGCCTATGAGTCAGTACTATTATTATTCTCATTTTAGAGATGAGGAACCTGAGGTACAGAGAGGTGAAGTAACTTGCCGAAGGTAGCACAGCTGGTAAAGGGCAGAGCTGAGATGGGGAAGCTGGTAGCCTGGTTCTAGAGTCCATGCTCTCGGCCACAAGGCTATGCAGTGTCTCTGGGTCTCCTTAAAGGAGGTGGCCTGCATTTCACATCGTCAGCCTCGCCCACATCGTGAGGACATGTCCACTGATCAAGCCGTGTCTCCCTCAGTACATCCTGCCCTGAGCTCTCTGACATATTCCCCACCCTCTTCTCTGCCCCAGCCCTCCTTCAGCCCTGAGACCCTGTGGGGGGACAGGGCAGGGGCTCCGTGCCGGGGAGGGCTGCAGGAGTTTCAGAACTTTGGGGTTGGTGGTGCCAGTGGAAGGCACCCTGATTCTGAGGTTGGGGTGGGTCCAGGAAGCCAGCACCTAAGGCTGGGCACAGGCAAGAGGGTTGTCCAGGAGACTTAGGTTTCCTTCTGGGTTGAGGATCCAGTTCTCCAGGTGGGAGCAGGGCTTCAGCCTCTCTGTTGTGGGTCTCAGAAACCTGAGCTGGCAGAGCTGAGCCTGGAAAGGTGAGGAATACCACGGAAGTGCTCATTGCCCAAGTGGCTGCAATCCTGCAAGGGCACGAGCTGGCCACTCAGGCTGTGGCTCCGGACGCCTCTTAAGCAATGATCAGGAAGTGACTCAGGCCTCAGACTCTGCCGACACTGACCCCCACCTCGGGCCTCAGCTGGGCCTGTGTTTACTCAGCAGCCAGGCGGCCTTGGATCCAGTGAGGGCATCACCAATGGGAGAGGAAGAGAGAAGGTCGCTGAGCACATCCTGGGGGCTTGCCCTCTGCAGCCTGGGGCCTCTCTTCTCTTTGAGCTCCAAGGTCCCTCTGCTCTGCTCGTCCCAGACACTGGCCCAATGCTGTTGCATTGGTTTCTGCCCTATTAATGCCAAGGCAGGGGGTTAGGAAACCAACTCTGGAAGCAGACCTGAATTTCCATCCCAGCTCTGCCTTCCCAGCTGTGTGACCCTGGGCAAAGTTCCTTCCCCTTGCTGAGTGCCGGTGTCCTCCTTGTAGAATGGAAATGATATTAAAGCAGGACAAGTATATTTAAAGAGTCTTTGGAATGTGTCATTCCCAGTGCAATGTAACAACCACCAGCAAGGTAGGGACTGTCAATGCCTCCAGTCAGAGATCACCAGAAACACCCCTTGAGGGTGATTACTCACGAGGGAGAATGAGCAGCCTGGGGACGGAGGTGGGCGTGGCTCAGTAAGAGGGGGTCTGAAGGGACTTATGATAAGGTTTGGGCTGGTGTTACATGATTTGGTGCAGGGTTGATGGAAGCAGGACTTGTTCTGCATCAGATGCCATTGGGAAGTGGAGGTGATTCTATGACTGGTTATCCTAGTAAATCTTACCTAGAAGGAGGGCCCGTCGGAGTGAGGAGAGAGCTGTCATTGGTAGAGGGGCAGCCTTCACTCAGATTAGCTGTAGGGGTTGCTGGGGCACTTTTGTGGTTTGGACAATATTCATGTTTTGTCAGTGTTCTGATATGCTTACCGAGTGGTCCTGTTTTTGTCTCCATCCGTCACGGTCACAGATGGCTTTTCTGTGTTCAGCAGGAGCACCAGGACCAGCTGTGCCAGGCCAGCCCGAGCAACACCGAGGCCTGGCTGATAGGACCGGGCAGCTCCCAGATGCCAGGGCTGTTTTCCTCTGTCTGGATACTGCGATTCCCCTCGTACAGATGGAGAAACTGAGGCCCAGAGGTGTTAGGTGATTTACCCAAAGTCACATATGACCAAGAAGGTGGTGGATGTGGTCTTTGAACCTGCTGTCCTGCTCCAGAGTCTGCACATTTAACCACCAGCTAGACTGCCTGGCGCCTGGCAAGTGCCTGAGGAGTGGCTGTCATTGTGGCGTTGTCTTCCTGGCGAGGCTGTGAGCCTCTGGAGGGCAGGGACATGGTTTTGGGAATGATGACCGGCCTCCTAAAAATTGAGACAAAAGCCCACATGATTATGAGGCTGGCTGCCTATGTTCCCCATCCTGGCCACCCATCTTGTCTCAGGAACGTGACAGCTTCTCCCACACTACAGCCCCATCTGTCCTGGCCCTGGGTACCCGCTCTGCCCCGCCCGAGCCCCAGCCCTCTCTGGTCAGTCCCTGCCCTAGATGCAGCTCCCTAGTCGAATCGAACTCCTTCATCAAGTCTTTTGCCAAATTCCCAGCCCAAGGATTCATTCACCTATTCATTCAACATTTACTGAGGGTCCGCTTTGTGCCAGGGACTCATCTAGGCACTGCGGATGTAGCAGAAACGCCACAGATAAAAATCCCAACCGCGTGGAGCTACATTCCAGTGGCGGAGGCAGATGAAGAACCGCTGAATATGTAGTATTAGGTTGAACTGTATGAAATTGCTGGCATTTGACAATTGTATACGGTTCAGCCAAATGCAATGTCAGGTAGCATTAAGTGCTACGAAGAAAATTCTGCAGAGAAAGGCTGCAAAGAAGGCCTAGTTTAGACCGGGGGATGCGGTAGGGGTGGAGGGTGGGGGGTGCTCAGGGAAAGTCTGTCTGAGGAGGTGACATCTGAGCAGCACCTGAGGGTGAGGGAGGAGCAGGTGTCCACTCCGCTCCCTCTTCCTCTGACCAGCCCTCCGGCCTCACCCGCCCCAAGCCCTCCCCCGGCCCCATCCAGCAGTGTCTGGTAGGTGCCTCAGGGGACCCAGCTCAGAACCCCTGGGGGCAGCGCACTGGCCTCCGGCTTCCCCAGTCCCTCCCCCTTCCAGGGGGCTGCGGCTGCTCAGCAGACTCGGGGTCTGAGCAGAACATCCATCCCAAGGACAAAATATCAGATTTCCCTTCCCACAGACGCCCCTGACCATGTGAGCTTTTCTCTCGGCCTCTGGGCCCTTTGCTGGACGGTGTGCTCCCTCCCTGCCCTCAGCCTTAGCACCCCCTGGTGGAGGACAGGGGGTAGGCACGGCTCTGCCTCCCTGGAGCCTCTTGGGGACCCGGAAGGTAGACTTCGCCTCTTCACACCATACACCACCCTGTCCCTCCCTCCCCTCCCCCTCCCCCCCAAGACCCAACTCCCTCCACCCGGCCTGCAGGACGGGCCCCTTGACTGCCTCCCATGAAGATGAGGCCTGGGTTCGGTCTCCGGGGGACCCTCCAGCGATGCCCAGTCCACAGCTCTGTTTGATCTCTGCGCTGTCCTTTGTCGCATGCATCACAATTTAATTGTCCTCTGTGAGGTGTCCATCTCCACCCCTGGAAAAGTGGCTCGGTGAGGGCGAGGACAGTATTTGGTCACTGCTGAGCCCCTGGCCCTCTGCTGGCCCACCGCAGGT